GATAATAATTGTAACAACTGTGACCAATAGACTAAAAAAAATCTTTTTTTTTCCAACAAATGCAATGTTTTTGTGTTGTTACCAGTTGTGTATTTTATCAGTCAGGACACACATTTTTTTCTCAAATATCTTCATCATTCATTGAGTTGTTGCACAGATAACACAAATGTTTAGACTTGTGAGACAGAAGTGTCTCCTGTGACTCAGCTGTGGGTCTTGTCCTCGTGCTGACGAGTTATCTGGACGGTGGCAGCTGTTTATCAGTCGGCTGACCGTGGCTCAGCAGCTTCAGACAAACTGAGAACGCAGTCGATTTCTCAACAGTTTCATTTCTGCTGAGATGGTTGGAAATAATGAAGACAGACCAACGCAGAGAGGAATTCTGTGTAACCAGTACAATGAGAGACGACACACATGAGCAGTTGTCTGAGGGGTGAAAGGAAACCAACAAAATCAAAAAACTGAAATCGTAATCTTGTGAGACGAAACGTTTGTGTAAAATAAACTAATAGGCACCTTTAAAGACATGTCTGTATAGAGTTTTAATTCCCTTCTAAAAATGTCCCCGTTACCCTGCTTTACTTTACTTTTTTATCCATGTCCTTCAGTACAAGAATGCAGATCTCCCTACACTTTGGAAGTTTTAACCAAAAAGTSTTGTGTGATCAGTTGGTGCTTAGAGCCCGTGATAGGATGAGTCTGCAACTACCACCCCAACATTTAGCTCAGGATCTAAATATAACTGGGTTCTAGTCGTTCATTCATGTGTTTGCTTGAATCAGGCTCTAGTTTATCAGCTGCAGATCTACACTCGTTGTGTGTTTTGTGATAGTTTCACTAGAATTCTAAGAAATATATTATCAACAGACAGAACTAAACACACAGGCAATGAGATGATTGCCAGCTTTTTGGAAGTGTACCGTTAAAAAGTCCTGAAACAGCAAAAACAATCCAAAAAGAAACAATCAAATAAATACAAAGTACTTCTCTGTCTGCAGTTTTATGAGTAACATTAAAAATAACAATCTGCTATGACTTGCTGACAGTGGGCTAGAAATAAAAAGAAAATAAAAATTATTAGGGGGAAATAAAACTATGAGGATCAGCACCTCCAAATCTGAGTGACTAACGTATTTTTTTTCCCACGACTTTAACAAAACAACAACAAGCTAACATTAGCTATTGGTTTACTGTCCTCCATCATCCTGCCCTCTCGTCTTCAATCACACTGCTGCATGTTTAGGTCAGTGCTGGGCACAGTTCCCTAAAGCACTAATAGGGGAACTAATTTCTTGATTAGTGCTTTAGGGCTTTTGCTATTTTTAAAACTCATTAGTGGATTAGCACTTGCTAAATACATGGGCTAGATTTAGAAGCACAAACTGAGGTCTTTAAATGTTATTGATCAACATTATTGTTCACAGTTGAGGGTGAAACCTGTTGTATATATTTTTTTTCATATGCGTGCCACTTATCTACAAGGTCACATGTGTGAAACTGAAGGCTCGCGGGCCAAATGTGGCCACATACTTAGTGCCCAGAAAGGGCACTAAGTGACAATACTCTGCACACAGTAAATATTGTCTTATGTTGACTCTAGGGCTCCGACGCCCTCGGCTGCGTCTGGCCTCTGTTGCCATGACGACGGGGGGGTGCTGCCACCCGCCCGGTTCTCTCTGCGACTGTGCCGGCGGTGCTGGTCTGTGGAAAGTTGTGGAGGAAGCGGGTGGCGATGGGTGCCAGGCGCTCTACTTCACGCAGGTGACGGCGATCGACGGACGGCTGCTGTCCTCCGTCCTGAGACCCACGAGCGTCCAGAGGTTAGACCTGTCCCCGGCACTGTCTAGTTACTGTGTCCTGTCAATTCAAATGATGTTCTGGTTGAGTTTCTATTGAATCGACTGCTTTATGTTGTTGTTTTTTTGTATCAGTGATGGCCCCATCTGTCGTATCTGCCACGAGGGAGGCAGCAGTGAGGGTCTCTTGTCCCCGTGCGACTGCACAGGCACACTGGGCACGGTGCACAGGAGCTGTCTGGAGAAGTGGCTGTCGTCTTCCAACACCAGCTACTGTGAGCTGTGTCACACAGAGTTCAGCATCGAGCGGCGGCCCCGGCCTCTCACTGAAGTAAACAAAACTCACTGCCTCACTCTTTCCTCTCAGCAGTTTGTGTTGATTCAGTTGCATCAGTTCACATTTTTGTTGTTCTTTTTATCATGTGAATGTTGATGTAGCATTCACACTATTGTTTTCCTGTTTATTGTTTTTATATGGGTGTGTATTTAATAGGGCTGCAACAATTAATCGATTAATCGATGACTAATTGATTATTAATATAATCGATGACTAATTTAATAATCA